TTGGTTACATTGTAAAATATTTATGATAACAAATGTAAAAATACACAAAATACAATTTCACATATGAAAGTATAAAATACACTATAAAATAAATAAATCACTAAAATCTAAACAACCCATAAAATGTGTAAATATCGAATATGACGTATAATGTTCTCTAGACACATCCATTTACCAACTGACATTATACTATCAACTTATTCATTTGTAAGCCTTTTACTCGTCATTYCGTTATTTACATAATTGAAATTATTTTTAAATCATACGCGGTCGATAATCGTAATTTTATAAATAATAATATGATTGCTAGGTAGTAGACAACCGTGTTCATTCACCCAGTCCCGCTTGTATAAGTCRATAACGTCGTTAGTAGGTACTTACTTTGGAGTGTACACTACTCAGTATAATATTTAATTTTAATAACATAAAACCATTGCTGTTATTATTATAAATTTGAAATCGCGTATTCGCGTCGSCGTCATTCCTAGAACGTATTATTGATAGATTAGGCGGCGTGCACGTCAGAGTGGGAGAAATCATATTCGCTTTCGCAAAGATASTAGGTCGCAGCACATTACAGCCAAAAATAATAAAATATACAATTTATTTTTACATAAAAACTGTATCGCGCGGAAAAGAACCGAGAATATTACAGTTATAACTAAGAAACCAATTTTTCACCATCAACAGAGGAGAATTTTAACTCTGTCGTAGCGTTTTAATTTTTTCGATAAGACCAATATATCAAAAGTTATTTAAGTTTGTAAAACGTAAAAATATCTATTTTTTAAAACTATTATAACTTTGTTCTTATTAATGATATCAAACAAWTAAAAACGCTACGACACAGAAAATATTATCTTCTACATTGTGTACGAATTTGGTGTCTCTACTAGGATTACAGACTGAGTGGTTCTTACCCGCGCAAAACGGTTTTTAATATATGTACAATTTACGGATGTGTGGCGTCCTCTTAAGGGTTTTTGATTATATTATGATCTTGGGTTAATTATTTAGTTAATTAAATCACTATTAATTCAACAATTACTACTGCTCAATTTTAAGCTAATTCAACCATTGAAGGAGGCTGCAAGGCTGCTTCTCTGGCTGTCCAGGTATTGTATAATATATTTATATTTTCTATCTTAGCTATTCAGGGCTGTAGATGTTATATGTTTACTGATATTGCTATTATGGACGTGCCTTAGCGACCCCGTAACAAATAAAAAAAATAACGAGACGAAATTACTTTGGCTCAAAATAATATTCTTTATTTAATTGTTGTATTGTTTTAATAAAAGGAATACTCTGAAAAATGGTCTGTAATCGTATTGCGTTACTTCAAGACTGCCTGATACGTGTGCGAGTCTCCGCATACGAGCTGGTCGACCGTTCAAAAGGGTTTATTCAGCAGATTCCTTAGACCAGCCGTATGGAGAGGGAGTCTTACTCGCCTGTTGTCACACACGTATCAGTTTACAATATAAATAATTATTTTACAGCTAAATACATTAATACTACAACATATATATAATAATGTTACTAACAGTATTCAGTGGTTCTTAACATTGCTATTTTGTTTGGTATACTTTATACATTAATGTTGAGTGGTTCTTTGAGGTTCTAAATTTAATTTTAGAAGATCCCTTAGTTCTTCCCAAGATTCAAAGTTCTGGTATTTTACTACCTGTCGAGCCTTCCCGGTTAATCTGGTTTGTATGGCTTGTACCAACCTTGAGATAGCTGTACGCACCGTACAAAACACAGCAAAATCACATTTCTCTAGGAATACTTCTACTTGCTAAGTATTCTCACCATCAAGTGATTTTGGTAATAGTCTGATTGCGTCTTGTAATCCAATTTGATTGTTGGACATCGCCTCTACTGTCTGAGGGTTATCTCGTAACCTGAGTGCATCTTGTACTTTTTGATTAACGATCTGTATTAGTTGCTCTTCTGTGATAGTCAAAGTTCCCGTATTTACGTTTGGTATCGACTCATGTTGTTGAGGTTCTGTGTCATTAGCCATGTTTAAATGGTCGTGTCTAATTTGATCTTCAGTCCAATCAATTCGAATCTCTGAGTAACTTTCCTCTAGTAACTGTTGTTCAGAATTTGTTGTTTGTGGTGGATTTTCTGTCCGTTCGGAATGTTCTGTGATCAAGGGATTCGTCTTTGTGACGACGTAGCTTATACTTTTATCTACTTCTTGTAATTCATCAGATACGTTAGCTAATAAATTATTTGTGGCTATCAATAAATCTGTTTCCCTAACTAGCAAATGATCTACCGAAATATCAGCTACCTCCCTCTCAGAAGTAGGGTCTTCCGGATTTGAGAACCTAACTGTTAAACTAGTTCGTGAAGTGGGRATAGGACGTTGAGAATATTAACAGTGGTTAATTCGTTATTTTCCTCTAATGGATTATTTTCGTCCTCAGAATTATTCATTAACCCCCCTCCCTTTTTTTATTTTTGACTAATAAGCAATAGAATAGCAGTTACAAATATAGGCAATCACTACTCATGGGCAAAGCAAGACAAAAAAAAAATGAAAATATAGTTATAATAATATAGTATAACAATTATAGCAATATATTATATAGATAAGAAAAATAATAGTTTTAACTCACGAGGATCGGTGTATATTTACTGTCTTACTGTCCATTGTTGAATAGATTGACTTCGATGTTGAAATGTTCTGGAACTTGATATGCTGATGGTCTCGTACTTTTCGATCAACGACGACTATCCTTTTCGACT